AATAAGAAAGCCAATAAAACTAGACTGTCGGTAAAAAAAAAAAAATCTCTTTCCAAAAATAAGTCAATGACACCTGATCTAGAAACTGATTTCTTACAAAGAATACGTATTCTCTTCATAAAAATCGTGTCGGTAATAAATAACGCATTGAGGTCGATATGCCTTAAAACAAAATAAGTAAGCCAATAAAACCAGACTCGATAAAAAAAAAATAACTTTACAAAAATACGTCAATCAAACCTGATCTAGAAACTGATTTCTTACAAAGAATACGTATTCTGTTCATGCGAGACTATCCTAAAAATCGTGTCGGTATTAAATAACCCATTGAGGTTGACATAAAATAGAAATATTTAAGGGATTTTGTAACTGTTTTGTTTATATTTTCTGTATGAATAATAAGGAGTCACGGTTAAATTAATGGATTTTGACTCGAATTGAAGAGCCAAGTTCGAATTCCAGTCGAGTTCATTACGTTCACTTATGTGCTAATACCCTTGGGGAAAAGGCATGTATCCAACTCTGCTCTCTCCATCTTTGGGGAAAATAGTAGAATAGACTGGGTTCTATAACGTTGATTGGCAACTGTTATAGTCAAAGCAAATGTTGGGATTCAAAACTGTATATATCCCTTGCAAAGCACGTGTACTTTGCAGCTAAGGAAAGGATCGTTCGCGTTGACAACTGTCGACTTTTTTTCTATACGATTAACTTTATTGCCGCATATTATAAAAGAGACATACCTTTTCAAGTCATTAAAACCCATAATATCAAATGAAAGTTGACACGAAAGAAAAAATATATTAGCAGTCTGATCTCCCATACTTACTAATCAGAGATTTTGTTTGTTATATTGTTAACACAGGGCTCGTGTGCCTATTGGATTCACCTTATGTTACTATAACAACAGAACATCTCACCTGAAATAGGGGAGAACAGGATTCCTGGTCGATTCATATGCAGTTATTCCATTTTTGATAATAACCATGTTTATGTCACATTATTTCATTTGATTTTATTAGCATCATTAGCCTTATTATTATCATCATCAACATTTGAACTGCTATGTAATATCTAATCTCCTATATACAGCGAATGCTAGAGATTCTATTCATGAGAGACTTGAAGCGAAAGAGATGAGTTTCTACAGAAGGATGGTGAGAATACCACTGACAGAATATGTATGCAACGGGGACGTTTGAAGTAAAATAGGAACTACAAGAAAACGGATGATTACAATCAGAAAATAACAGATGATATTTCAAGGAAACATAAGGAGAAAAGAAGGCTTCGAGAATCTAATATTCACAGGACATATTATATACAAGAGAATCGGGGAAAAACAGTGAGAAACCTACCAAACGAGTATTAATGGCAGGACAAGGACAAAGAGAGATGGCAATGTGTCAGAGGTTAATTCGAGAAGAAAAGAGAGGAAGATGTGTTGAGCCATAGTCTGATAAGTCTTGAACGGTAAGTGTGTATAAGAGAAGAATCAATATCGAAACTGTTCAAAATGCCCAGAGCGTCTATTCAAATATGAGTATCCGCTAAAAATAATGTAAAGTGATAAGATATGTCGGGTTAATAAATAAAAATCCATTCCTTCTTTATAAATTGCTTTGTTTACGTTTCGGACACAAAACTAAATAGTTCTAATTTTAGAAGAAATCTGAAAGAGTAAAGTGTGCTTAAAAGGCAGATAGAACAATACGCGGTTTTGAGTGCCGAGGGGTCAAAAGCACCCCGGATCAAACGACGTGTCTTTTCTTATAAAGAGGCATGCAGGTTCGTATTCGGGGGGGGGCGTATTATTCTTTAATAAGATTTCTCGAATGTTTATGACGGTTGACGAAATAAAATAGTTTAAAATAAACGTTGCGTCCACTCAGATATTATTATAATCAACATCACTATTATTATTACTTCAAGAATAAGAAAGGAAGTTGTGGTGAGCCATAATCTGATATGTCCTCTAGGGTAACAGTTTATAAAAGGAGAAGTATCAATATTATTATAATCAATATCACCATTATTATTATTATTATTATTATTATTATTATTATTATTTCGAGAATAAGAGAGGAAGTTGTGGCGAGCCATAATCTCATACGTTCTGAAGGGTAACAGCTTATAAAAGAAAAAGTATCAATATTATTATAATCAATATCACTATTATTATTATTATTATTATTAATATTATTTCGAGAATAAGAGAGGAAGTTGTGGCGAGCCATAATCTCATACGTTCTGAAGGGTAACAGCTTATAAAAGAAAAAGTATCAATATTATTATAATCAATATCACTATTATTATTATTATTATTATTATTATTATTATTATTATTACTTCGAGAATAAGAGAGGAAGTTGTGGTGAGCCATAACCTGATACGTCCTGAAGGGTAACAACTTATAAAGGAAAATTATCAATATTGTTATAATCAATATCGCCATTATTATTAATTTTTTCCCAGAATAGAGAGAAAGTTGTGGTGAGACATAATTTGATACATCCTGAAGGGTAACAGTTTATAAAAGAAAAACTATCAATATTATTATAATCAACATCATCATCATTATTATTAAAGTTTATCGGCTTTCCAACTCCTCTCGCCTGTACGATTTATAAGCGCTTGAAAATTACAATCATAATCCTAATAGTTTTTGATTAGCTCTCGCCCAAGTAATATCTGTTATAATAAAAGAAGGTCTTTCCAACAATAGCATCTCAGCCATTATTTTCTTTACGGCTAATAATTTCATAGTCTCGTATGCGAGTAATCTTACCTTTGTCGAGAATTAATAGCAGGTGGCCGGGGAGAGAGAAATGTGCCAATAGCCGGGCAGCGATTACGTAAGTCAATTTTACTCAGAAATTGTCTATTGAAAAGAGAATGCGAGCATTGTGCCGACACAGACAGACCATTGTGGCGGCTTAGTCCAGACTGTGCAGCAATCAATAATCTCTCATTGATGTCCACCTAGGATACACTTAGTCCCCTTTTGTTACTTTGGGACTGTCGGGCTGGGGTCAAGATAGTGAGAGCGAAAATCTTTGGACCAAATGTCGATTGGCTTTTTGATGCTATTCGCTGACACTGACGCCATTACATCTTATCTTTTCCGAAAGGATTTTACTGAAAATAGGAATTATATTTACTTATTCCGTTCTGAGAGAGAATGAAAAGTATGTGTGTGGTACAAGGGCACTTTTTAAAATCAGTGGCTCGTCGGAGTCAAAATTGAAATTCAAAGACTCGATGAAATCTAAACAGCAACAGAGCACTTGATACGCAGTATTTAAGGTAGCCTTATGGATTACTGCTCGGATCGAGGAATCGGAGAGCCGAATTCGAAATTCAGTCGAATTCGTTGCAGTCACATTTTACTGACCTGTGCACTGGTAGGAAAGGGGCCACTATCCCAGTCACTAATAAAATACAATTCTGCTTTTTGTTCTTATTAATGATTACAGACTACGGTCGACCCCTAAGCAG